AATCATTTGTTATCAGTATACTCTGGTTTGTTGTTGTATATTATATTAATATTTGTATAACAGTTATATATAATTTTCATCCATTTGTATATTATTCTATTCTACTATTCTAATGATAGTGCAGTGCAAGTGCATGGTGTATTCTGTAATAATTCGTTTTTCTAATAGATAATTGGATTCGAGTAGGCATTCATATTTTCCAGCGTATGTTGCAAAATGTTCTTGAGATATTCTTCCGCATGCATTAACACAAATTTTCAGTATTCTTGATTTGTTATTGATATATATATTTCTCACGACAAAACATTTTTATATCATTTATCTATATTCTTAAAAATTATTTTCATGAATATTTTTTGATGAAATTAATATATAACAAGCGATAAGGAATGTTATTTTGCACTAGATAATATCCGCGTAATTATACGAAATACGTTCGGTTATCAGCCTAAAACACAAGTCACGTGGGTAGAAATGTCTATGGCAACATAACACCGGAATGCCCTCACGGTCATCCGCTGTAATAAGACCATATTTCTGTTTGTGTACATGTAGGTTACACTAATTGAAAGTCAATGATACGTGGTATGTACGTGTACTATAATACAGTTGAAGGAGCATTTGAATATCTCACACTATTGATATTAAGAGGCCTGTCCCAAAAAATCATTGGTTAGTTTTTATGCTGAATCTGATTAGTTCATTTTTAGGGGAACCAGTAATGGTAAGTCAACAATATTTGGTGTGTTGTTGTTAGAATTACAACATCTCATCCATGGGGATGAGTTGTTCAACCCCCTTAGCCATGGTTGTCATGGTCCATTGAAATTAAATCTTGGGCATGTTACAGCTTAAAATTAAAAGGTCAAACCTCAGAAAATTACAATAAGACCATCATCAACATCATCTTAAAAATAACATGTATATGTACATGCCTATTAATATTTTGGTGAAAGAAGTTCATCCTCTCGATCTACTTTGTCATATTCTTTTCATATTCATTAAAATAAATGCCAAGTGGATATAAATACATGTCCAACAGTAAGAAAACAACCCAAATGCCAAAGACAATTGAAAGACGTCTAGAGGTCAACACACAATCTCAAACAATAGACAGAATAAAAACTAAAAGTACAGCCAATTGTTGAAATGTATTATTACATGTATTTGCAAGATTTATAAATATTTTATCTTTCACAACTTTTTAAGTATTAGGTTCAACCTAACATTTTATAAACATTTGATTACATTGTGGCTAGTCTGTAAAATAGACATCAATTAGAGAAGCCAATACTACTTGGACATTAATTTGAGAACAACACAAACGATGTCTATTTCAGGGATATATAATTGGTTATACATGTATAATTGGAATCTTTTTATTATGACATCAGATTTGGATGTCGACTTCCGGAATGGAAGTTTGTTTGAGACTGGACGTCAATCTGAGTCTTTAATAGTAGTTTGATAACAGTTTAAAGTTTTAATGTTTGTTCACCTGTTTACTATGATTAGGTGGAAGTATGTTCTTATTTCAAAAAGAGGGGCACTCAGCATATATTATCAATGTGTGCATGAAGTGACAACTACTTGCTAGAAACTGAATGTTTTTACCACAACTTTGTATGTTTTAATTAGGACACGTACATATAAAAATTACATATCATTTTCAGGACTTCTGATCCATGTAGTTTGGCATGTTTGTTAGATCATAGAGGTGGTTATGAAGGGTGAATGCTGTTAAGTATAAGGTTCAACCTAACATATTTTTAAAGCATTGATTACATTGTGCTAGTCTATAAAATAGACATCAATTAGAGATCCCAATACTATTGGGACATTAATTTGAGAACAACAAAAAAGATGTCTATTTCAGGGATATATAATTGGTCATACATGTATATTTGGAATCTTATTTGTTATGACATCAGATTCGGATGTTGACTTCCGGGATGAAAGTTTGTTTGAGACTGGACGTCAATCTGAGTCTTTAATCGTAGTCTGATAACAGTTTAAAGTTTTAAAGTTTGTTCACCTGTTTACTATGATTAGGTGGAAGTATGTTCTTATTTCAAAAAGAGGGACACTCAGCATATATTATTAATGTGTGCATGAAGTGACAACTAATTGCTAGAAACTGAATGTTGTACCACAACTTTGTATGTTTTCATTGGGATACGTACATATAAAAATTACATGTCATTTTCAGGACTTCTGATCCATGTAGTTTGGCATGTTTGTTAGATCATAGAGGTGGTTATGAAGGGTGAATGTTCATGATAGGCCTCTGTAACAAAGTATATGACTAGATTGAGCTTTTTGTCTAAGTGTATTATTTAATTGCTTTGATTTGAGCTCAGTTCAATGTTATGCAAATGCATTCTTTGTGAAATAAAGATTTGACACACAACTCACATCTGCACATGATCTGCTGTAAGGTAAGATGATTAAAACTGTCAGCACAAGGAGTTTGTGAAGTAGCATCCATTCAATGTTAGTATTTAAGGGGAGATTAAAGCATTTTATTTACACTTAAACCAAACATTTTTTGTCCAGAAGCCAAATAAAGAAGCACAAATTTACCAAACAATGCTACTCGTGCTACTAGCAATATGAAGCTAGGTGGTTTAGTAACACTTTTTTTAAACATCTGTGCTGTCTGCTGATGAGTTCTGAGTGTAAATGGTCATTCACTTATACATACTGGTAATGTTGGTAAGTATAATTTTTTTGATTCTTTTGTCCGTCAGTCCTGTTCATATTTAAAAGAATTTTTATCAGTTTTTAGGAGTAATGAGCATCTGTATTGGTATCTGCCATATCTCGTATATTGTTGTTACTTAAAACCATAATATATCTTCATAGAAACAATTTCGACATTTAAACACAATCTTTTACAAATGGGAAGATCCTGAACAAATTTACAGTTTTATGTGGACAACCCAAGTAAGAAATTAACACCTCAAAGGAACATAAATAGAACCATACAAATATAACGTGCTTGCAGGTTCTCGGATACCATCTCGCATATTAAAATCACATCATGCAGAAATGAACGTTATGTGGTCCTGTTCTTATTTTGAGTTTTTGCTGCTATCCAAAATAAAAATTGTGGAACATATTTTATCGGAATCATTTGGCAATACTTGCAATCTTCTGTTTCTTTATGTTAATCTCTCCAGCATTGGAGCACACTCAGCTAGCTGTGTTCCCTTAACGAATCATTTTTAAAAATGTTAATGTATTCAAATAGAAGTTATTCCAAAGTTAAAATGTTGAATGGAAATCCCCCAATGGAACTTGCACATGCACACAATTTAATTACAGGAATGTACTTTTATATACACGAAACACTCATAGTATGTTGGCCAATTTGTAGATTTGATATTTAAAGCAATGTCTAGCTAAATAAAAAAATCTATGAACGGTTGACACTGATTTAAATTAGTGTCTGCTCCATGACAGTCTTGGGACATTAAAACTAAATATTAAATAACAGACACTGCTATTTTTAGTGTTTGGTACAGGTTGGCTGTCACTGTACACCACAATTCAACATAGAACCGTATATAAAACCCAGAGAACTCTTTATGCCAGAAAAAAGTAAAATCACAAAAATACTGAACTCCGAGGAAAATTCAAAAAGGAAAGTCCCCAAACAAAAGGCAAAATTAAAAAAACAAACACATCAAACGAATGGATAACAACTGTCATATTCCTGACTTGGTACAGGCATTTTCTTATGTAGAAAATGGTGGATTGAACCTGGTTTTATAGCTAGCTAAACCTCTCACTTGTATGACAGTCGCATCAAATTCCATTATATTGACAACGATGCGTGAACAAAACAAACAGACACAATAGGTAAAATGTCAAAAATAGGGGTACAGCAGTCAACATTGTGTTATCATTTTAATCACTATAAAAACAAACAAATGTAACGAAGAAAACACTGTCAAACATCCAAACATACTATCCACACTGATCTGTGTCCACACTTGTATCTTTAACAATATATAGGTATATTTCTATCAAAAACTAGGAGTGTTTATTTCAATATATTTCAACTAGGCCTATTGAAGGTACGGTGTAAGATAAAATGGGTATTAATGGAGGATAAGTTTTTACAACACCAATATTTTAATATATTTGACAAATTGACAACATATAGCCCTCTTTAACACATTGAAGTTTTTAAGATGATGTACGTGATATTCTGGCCTGTCTATATGAGGGTAAGCTAAATAAATGGTAACAAATCGCCTTGAGTGACATTTTATTACACTCTTATAAGATCAGTGAATGAAATTGAGTTAACAAATTGATTATGCCTTTCGTTGTTTTAGACGATATATAAACGATTTTCTAGATTGACAAAAAAAATTATTCTTGGAGATTTGGTTCATAATATCAGAAGTTGACTTGAATTTTTAGATATGTTCTACTTTCTTATCATATGATCAGTTAGACCTAGGGGATAAGACCACATACGTTTTCTTGACTTGACTTTTCTTTGTTTTTTTTCTATTTTAATCTTTGTGATCATAATTTTGTTCATTTAAGTGATGATACACTGAACATTTATCATAGTTTGTCTTCGCAAGCGGAACATATGTTCTTGTGAGCGCTTGTAGTGAACACTACATCCTCACTCAAATATACTAGATGAAGTCTCGTAGTTTTCATGTAATACCGATTAGAAAAGAAAGCAAGACAATTCTTCCGTTGACGATGGTTTAATTGTATTCACAACGTTTCTAGACTGGGACGATTTATATAGTAAGAGCTTGACACATTGTATATACTGGTCTACTGTTGAAGACCGTATGTTGACCTCTAGAAGGAGGGGATAAGACCACATACGTTTTCTTGACTTGACCTCTTTTGATTTTTGTTTGTCTTTTGGTTGCGTGTTCGTAGACCTATACCACACATCTCCATTACTTTCGTTCAACCCTACCCCATTCCATCCCATCCCATCGCACAATTAAAAAAATTACCTCTTCTGCAGCAGTCTTGAAATTATTAATGTATAATAGATTCCACCACCACGTATCTTTACAGTACTTCTTTTCGAAGCCATTTGTTAACCACATGGGTCCGCTTCCCAGATATTTAGAGATACATATCTGCACCATCATAATTAACATATATGGAGGGGTTAACCTGTTATACGGTAAAAAAAAGAATTGCTCTCTTGTTGACAACATCAGTTGATCAAATGTATGTTTTAAAAAGATTCGAGTGTAGTACATACTATGTTATTGAATTAATATATTCCAACGGTACATCGCCACGATATAGCCTTTTAATGCTGACGCGGCGAAAAGCAGTCACCAATCAATCAATCAATCACCAACAGTACATTTACCAAAAAAACATAATAACCACAATAATAATGATGGCAATAACATGACTAAATATACATACATCGAAACTACGTTTTTCAAACGTGTACGGTCACCATTACAAATTGAGTTCTAATATTTTTTAATACCTGAACGGTCGTCAGATCTGTAAATTTACCGATTGTGTCCGTTTCCCGATTGTCACATTTTGGCCGATTGGCGGATAATGCACACATATCACCCATAGTACTTAAAGAGAGGAAACGATATTTGTATATATGCACAGGAATGCCTAAGCTGAAATAAGTTTTTGACCATGAATTTCAATGTACAAATTCAGTACTGTAAACCAACTAATTTTCGCGAGTGATTTATTTTCGCGACTTTCGCGAGAAGAAAAATAACGCGAATATAAATCGTCGCAAATATGTAAAACTTGGATCTTTCCTTATTTAACTAAGTCAAGTAAATTTGAAAATAGCGAAATGGACTAGAAAGGGCTAAACGCGAAATAAAAGTTCCGCAAAAATAAGTTGGTTTACAGTATCTTCCTGGTAAGAGAAAACCTTCTTGTAATGGTGATTAATCTATCAAATTTTAAAATCAAATTCCAAGGGCCTTTCAAGTTGGAAAACGATACGATTTATTTTTACATATGCACAACTTATAGTTTTTGACAATGACTTTCAATGTACAGATTTCTGCGAGACACGCCTTGCAGTACTGGACTGGTGAGTAATCCTGTCAATTTCCTTTCCTTTGATTTACTCAAAGAAGCTTTAATGGTAGAAAGCCAAAACTATGTGTAACGGAAAGAAGGATGAACAGACGGACGAATAGACACACTTTTTACTGTAGGTCTCCTTCGATTTAGAACAAAAATTAAAATTCATTATATTTAATTAAAAATTATACAGGGTACTATGAAAGGTCGCATTTGTGCATTCATTATCAACATTCGATCACAAATTATCATATACTTTGCAAATATATAATATTCAAAAAGGGCTTCGTTCATCATTCATTCATTCATGAAATTTAATTGTATTACCTTAAAAAAAAAACAATATATGTATGTCTATATATAACATTTAAGTTTAGTGCGAAATATTAGTTAATATGCTTGGCAAACAACAATATCAGTAAATGAGTATAAACTTCCAAATGATCACATGATTTTTGTAGTTGACGGAAAAAACATTTGATGTTATTTCTTACCTCCAAAACCGATGAAAATAAAACATAAACCAATTCAGTTTGCCTTTTTGCTTCTTCAGTTGATTTAGAACTACGTATGTTAGTAAGGTACCACTAAAATAATGTAAATGTACTAAATGTAATTACAGATAATTTTCAACTAAAATGGCACATCTAAGAAAATGAAACATTCAAATTGGAATAAATATCCAAAGCTTGTGTCATTTTTATTAATGACATTCATGTCTTTTTAAAGCATGTACTGTACACTTTTTTTTATTTCTTTTTAAAAATGTTTGCAATGATTCATTTGTCGATTTACACAGATGACGACGGATATGTTCTAGTTGTCGTAACCACAATTCCGTCCTCTTTTCCTCCAATGAGACCTACCGAATTAGATTTATTACCGGGTTTGTACTTACATGAGTACACGCCGGGTGCCACTAGTGGAACAGGATCTGCTTACCCTTCCGAACACCTGAGATCACTTTCGGTTTTTGGTGGGGCTCGTGTTGCTTAGTCCTTAGTTTTCTATGTTGTATTTTGTTTACTGTTGTTTGTCCTTTGGTCGTTTTTCGTTATTTGCAATGGCATTTTCAGTTTGTTTGCGACTTATGAGATTGACTATCCCTTTGATATCTTTCGCCTCTCTTTTACATCTGGTTTGAATGATTATTAACAAACAATGTCACTTAGGTATTCAAATATTCATATTATTTTATCGGTTTGTTGTTGAAATATTTTGCTCTGTTATTGTTTCCCCATCTTATCTTATTAGTTATTTCTACATTCATTTTGGAATACCTTTTCATACCTTAAAGCGAAGAAGGTATCTACTGATACCTCAGCATTGCCAATTGCCATGAATGTTTTTCTCTTTAGCAGTGCTCCATAAAGCGTACCAATATTACCTGTAGTTGCCAAGCAATCAAAATACATCAGTATTATTACAATTAGATAAAGATGGGTAATATGATATAAATATATCATTCAAATACGAAAAGTAATAACTTCAGGATAATTTGAATTTTTTTTTATATGAAATATATAGCAGCGTTATTTTCGTGGTGTCAAACACTTTTGATCTCTGACTCTATTGTAACATTTATCACATCGGTGGTAAATTGGACGATTCCCGTGTAATTTATCTGATTTAATATACACTTGTGTAAATCTCAACAACAAAACCAAGTGGCTTTTTTTCGGTTTTAGCAAAAAGCAAAAGCGTCAATCATATGAAATATATACGTGAAGCAACTATGTTAGGCTAAAACAATTAAGATTACAACTATGATAATAATATGTATTTGCTAATTAAAACTTCTTCGTTTATGATGAGGTACATAACAAGGGAAAAAATATAACTGAAGACTATAATGGGAAATAAATATAAATAAATGGAACAACAATTTTATTTTCATCTTGAAAGTTGTTTGAAGGTCTTCAACGTTGGATTATCATTTCAAATGTCAATAAAAAGGAAAAACAGACCGTTTGTGTATTATGTTAGACGCTTTTATATGTATATATATATGCACACGTATAAAAATTGCGGTTTTTATCCAACGCAATCATAGGTTTGAACGTTGATTTCAATTTAGACTTGTATATATATATAAACAAGTCTTAACTGAAATCAACGTTCAAACCTATGATTGCGTTGTATGAAAATCGCAATTTTTATACGTATGCATGCAAAACAAATTTCTTGGTAAAGGGGTCTGAATACAGCACAGCCAACATTTTCCAAAAGACCAAAAAAGTGATAAAGTATATTTTAACAAAACGCATTTGACTAGCAGGTCGATTAAAGGATGTTCTTAAACCCTGCTGATTGCCATTGGCGATTGCCAAATAAACGGATCACAAGATGTAACAAAATAAATCTTATTATTAATTTATTACCAAACAGAAAACAATAAACTTGTGGATAAGATAGTATACCGCAAACATGAGGTGCAGAAATTTGTACACCATATCCGGATTTCGACAATTAATGTCTCTTCAGTGATGTAAGAATCGAAACGGTATTTGGAAGGCCATATAATTTACCTCAATTTAGGATATACTCTTGAATTTTGAAAGAGTCAAAATAGAATGAACGGATCATATAAACCCGAAGGCAAATATAATACAAGCCCAAACGAAAAAATATCAACAAGTCTAAATTAAAAACAACGTTCAAACATATGATTGTGTTGGATAAAAACCGCAATTTTTATACGTGTGCATGCAAAACAAATGTTTTGGTAGAGGGGTCTCAATACAGCACAAACAACAATTTTCCAAAAGACCAAATGAGTGAAAAAGTATATTTTAACAAAACGCATTTGACTAGCAGGTCGAACAACGGATGTTCTTAAACCCTGCTGACTGCCATTGGCGATTGCCAAATAAACGGATCACAAGATGTAACAAAATAGATCTTATTATTAATTTATTACCAAAAAGAAAACAATAAACTTGGGGATAAGATAGTATACCGCAAACATGAGGTGCAAAAATTTGTACACCATATCCGGAATTCAACAATTAATGTCTCTTCAGTGATGTTAGGAATCGAAACGGTATTTGGAAGGATATATAATTTACCTCAATCAAGGATAGACTCTTGAATTTTGAAAGAGTCAAAATAGGATGAACGGATCATATAAACCCGAAGGCAAATATAATACAAGCCCAAACGAAAAAATATAAACAAGTCTAAATTGAAAACAACGTTCAAACCTATGATTGCGTTGGATAAAAACCGCAATTTTTATACGTGTGCATGCAAAACAAATGTTTTGGTAGAGGGGTCTAAATACAGCACAAACAACAATTTCCAAAAGACCAAATGAGTGAAAAAGTATATTTTAACAAAACGCATTTTATTTATATATATATATACACGTCTAAACATGTGACAACTTTATGACAAACATTCTGCATCGGATAACACGTGGTTATACAGGGCTAACACCATAATATATATATATTACTCGTCTGAAATTTAGCCCAACAATGTTAGATCTTCAAATATATATATATATTCAACTAGAAACTTACCTACTGAGTACAGGCCAAATGCGTATGTGTGTCCTAGAATAACCCAACTCATGCTGATAAACCGTATACCGTTGACAGCGGTTAGCGTGCCAGAACCGTGGTTTGTACTCAATATCTTAGCTCCATTTGTGTAAACAGAAAATGACAGAAGTAACTTTCCAAGAAATCCTGAAACACAACAATGCTGAATTTATATATTTTTGTGTAAGGACGCCATAGAGCGTTGGAATCGCTAAAATGCCATTGTTGTAAGCTTAAGAATGATGGTATGCTCTAAGGTGTTTGTAATGATGTTTTAATATCATAAAGGATGATTTTTACGCTTTCTACTGGTAATAAAACGTGCAATGGTTCAGCGCTCAAACTTCCGTTGGTCTGTAACAAAAAGTCAGTCCAACGTAACTATATAATGGCGTTGACTTGCGTCCGTTTCAACTAAAAGAACGAAACCTTTTGTACTGATAACAGTTTCTAATTAAATTGAGAGTTAAGGAAAAACAAATTTCTCCAGTTCAATTTGATTCTCTATGGATGAATGATGTGATTCAGAAGTCCTTTTGTATGCTGAAGTTCGTTCTCAGCAACTCAGGTGTCAAACGAATAATATTATAATTGAATTTACTGTTTCTGTTGATGATTATCCAAACGGACGACACAGCAAATTAGAAGAAACCTACAAGACTTTCAAATTTGTACGCATCGAAATTTTGTTTAAAAATATATATCTTCGTGCAGCAAACCAGCAGAAAATAGATATTGTCCTTGCTAACAGTCCACTGGCAAAAATAACGTTTCTATTAATTTATTCATAAAGGGGAAGTTTCGTGAAGGGTGTTGTGACGGATTATGTGAAGTTGTGCGTCAGGTAGAGGTAATTATGCCACATATCCGTTTCTTATACTAAGCACTTTTTATGTGCATTGTGGTATATTATTGTTTTTGGTATAATATTGGTTTTGATGGTTATTTAGCGCTTACACGGAAAAAGGAATTAATGAAAAAAAATATTAAGATGTCAAGAAGGAAGTAATTTTCTTTTTTACACTATTCAAAAGATAATCAAACCAAAATAATGAAAAGTAGATATAACAAACTACACTGTGCATGGTTGCTTTTGGACAACAGTCATTCTGTAATATTTTATCCGTTTGTTGGGGTGAGCGAAACACAAATCAGGTCTACCAAATAAGTATAGATGACATCATTGTTACTTTTAGCGATCTTTAATAGATAGGTTGTGTATTTATATAAATTGACCGAAATGAAGTAAAAAAAAATAGTTCGTTACCATTGAAAATTAGGCTGAAATTAATTGTAACATTGAGTTTCAGTGAATTTCTTGTTCCTGTAAGTTATTGAAAAAAAAATGCGTTTTTTTTTTATTAAAATCGGGAGCAAAACTGTTTCTTTCCGAGAAAAAAACCCCTCAAAAGATGAATAGTCGGTACCTAAAGATATTATACCTGGTTTGTACTGAGTTGTGGACGGATCTTCAACTGACATGGACCTATCCGGCTCTTTAAATTGATATTTATGCTCCTGGCCAGATAAATCGCTGATTGGTCTATTTTTTTCGCCTTCGTATCCGTTATTAACATGCCCATTACCAGCTGAATCATATGTCGTGGCATGTCCATCGAAAAGATCCCAACTGTTTTTCTTTGGTTGTAGCATGTGTTGAATTATAACATCGTACATGGTTGCTATGATCACAAGTCCAACTAGTACACTTATTATAATACTATAAATGAATTGTTTCCATATTAACTTAATCATAACAAATTATTTGTATTCAATTCCTTAATGCCTACTTATAATACCAATACTTTGTCTGCAACACGTGATTGTTGAATAACCTTGGAAAGCAAAATATGTTAAACGATTGAGAGTACAACAAAAAAGATTTTATTAGAAATTCAAAAAGCTTCTCTTGTCAACTGTGTCTGAGCGAATTTGCAACTATATTTCAGTACTATATATAATACTAAACTCGTTAACTGAAAATTTACACACATTTAAATCCACTATTTTAACATGCGAATTCCAAAGACAGGTGACCACTAGGTTGCTTGTACGTACAATTGGAGACTGATAGTCCGAAAGCAGCATGAACCACTGAACTACAGGCTCTTGACTCGAGACAGGCAAATAAAGAATGTGGCGGGGTGTAAAAGATGTGTTTATGAAATATTCAGTAATACGTACGTTCACGACAAAAAGTGAAAGCCCTTGAGAGCATAAAAATCCAAAAGCCGAAACAGAACATCTTTGTCTCAGGAAATGTAAACCTTAGTTTCAACACAATTACAAAATTTAGGAGCTAGAAATCAACATTCCACATATATTAGATATCAAACATGCTTATAACAGAACACTGGCTTATGTGCTAATATCGAAGTCGATCGTCAGCGGAACTAGACTAGGTGATGGGGAATCCGGTATCGTACAAATTTCTTTGCGCACAACACGAATTTCTCAAAAGCAAAAGATATAAATCGAAACCAAATGTTTATAATTTAAAGAAAGCTCTTAGATGCTTAGTACTTAAATCCACCTCAAAGGGATTATCATTAACCTTAGTCTTATGCTTCCTCTATATTTCATAAGTTTAGTATTGTACTAAAAAATGATTTTAGTATCTTCTGTTTTTTGTTTTTGTTTTTTTTGTGCCGATTTGATGAGTCTCGCTCTTTTTGACAAAGGAGAAGGTCCGGTAAGGGCTAGTTTAGACCTAAAATTCGAAGTACATCTGATGAAAGATTTTTGACATTTTTTAAACACTTAAGCGTCTATTTCAGTCGATTCAATTAGTTCATGTAAAAGATTTAAACTGATTTGGTCATTAAAGACGCTCAAATTCAAGCTTCAATATGAAAAATCTATCAAATATGCCATAAAACGTCAATTTTTATATGGTTTTTGTCTAAAATGTGAGTAGCTGCATTCGTGTTCAGCCTCAACCTTTATATATGTTATGTATTATCATCAAATACAGCATATATTTGAATATTATGACTGAACACAAATGTGGCTACTGCCATTTTAGACAAAAACCGTCTTAAAATTTGCACAAATGCTAAAATTGTGAAGTTTTCAGTAATTTTGCATGAATTTGTGATGCTAGTACCTGATGCTGTGCATTGTATTGTGAATAACATCCCATATTTATATGACTAAAGTATTCTACTTTCTAATAAATAGCTAAAAGTTTATATTTCAACAATTTTGTAAAAATGCTATATTTTGAGGCCAAAAAGGGGCCTTACTGGGCCTTCTCCTTTCTGATTTGTTCTTATCTTATGCTGTTACATGTACACCATTGTCCCAGGTAATGGGATGGTTACGCGCTCTGAAACGGTATGGGTTTTTCTCATTGTTAAAGGCCGTTAGTGACTATACTTGTAAACATCCAGGTCATTTAGTATCGGTGATAAGTTGTCTGATAGGCAATCATACATCAGCTCCTTATTTCGCGGAAAGCACAAATTGTAATTATTATTTCAAAACAGAAAAATCTAATTAAGCATTTTAGACGTGTTGAAACTGCTGATATATTGATTTCAAAAAATATAAAAAAAAACTGAGTTAAAATGTGTAAAATTAAACTTTGAGATGTTTATGTACTTCTAAAACATACACATTTCCAAAAAAGACAAAACGTTTTGAAAAATTGCAAATACCTACAAAGCTATTCTTGCTCTAAAATCAATAGGTTGGTCAGGTTTCTTGCAATCTCCGCCAGTTGCAAATACTGTGTTATTTGACAGCCTAGGTAACACTGAAAACAAATACAAAAACTGTCCAGTGTTATTGTAAATGTATGATATTTCATTTTAGAGTGTTATTGATTATTGCTAAAACTTATAAGTATGTAAAGGACATCATTTTCTCGGAGAATCAATGTCTTCAACTAGCGGAACAATATTTCTGTTAACCGTTTCATATCGACAACCCCGTTGATGCCGCCGTAACGTAATCTTCATGCATGTGTACGGGAGGAAACATATCTGCGACACTTTTCACAAAAAATCTTACGATTAAAATTGATCGTAAGTTATACTGAAATGTTCATGACTTACGAGTATTTTTACTCGTAAGATTTTTTGTGAAAAGAGCCCCTGACTCCCGGCCAGGTCCAACCAAAGTCTTAAAAATACGTATCTAATACCAAAATGCATGTGATATTTAGGAGTAAGCAAAGTCTAGTAGGGTTGAAGTGTGAATAATATGTCGGGGTTTGGTGACATGTCTTCATGCGTACTATTACCCAGTGAACTAGCTCGTTAAAATTCGACTCAAAGTGTCGGTCTTGCACAAAGCATTTTTATAATCATATCACATGTTCACGTCTTGATGTGCATGATTTATTTGCCACTGGACGTAAAACATCAATCCACCCATCCATCCTTTCTACAGCTATTGTGTTCACCCATGTTTATATCAGGTTTATATCAGGTTTAGTGCCGCTCGTATTTTAGTTTTTTATTCTTCTTCGATGTATCTGTCTGCATGCCTCATTGCTATCTTCTTTCACTTTTATATAAAAAAAAAACAAGATGGCGGAAACGTAAGGGTAAATGCTTCGGTCAAAAACACGGGTTAATCCTCTCCCTTTTTTCATTAACGATATATAGTTATGAAAATTTGTACATATTAAAACAAACCGCATGTATGCATGCAATTCATCGATTTTTTATTCCTCATTTGCTCAATCTTTAGAAAGAAAGAATAGTTGTCTCCTGACATAAAAAAAATATATACCTACCGGAGTTTAAAAGATTTTGTATATCTGAAATGGAGCAAGTATTCGGCACACACATCCCAACTCTAAGTTCCATTCCTTTTGCTTTCGTTAACTGAAATACAATCATTTACAGTAAAGAAATGTACTGCTATGTATTATTTTCAAAAATTAGAAAAAAGAGAAATTCGTAACAGGAAGAACTTCTCCCTCTATTGTTGTGAATCTTTTAAACACATGTGCTCTATCTATGGTATGTCATCCTCTCAATTACTTCCATTTAATTTTAATACAAACTGATTGTTTGAAGGTACAATGTTTTAATATTGAAGCTGAACTGAAATTCAGTTGTCTACTAGACAAAGATGTTGCCTCCGCTTTTTGCATGATTTTAGTTCCACAAACATTCAATTTGGATTTAGGAAACATTGATGTTGAAATACAACTTGAACTGGATAAGTCTTAAAGACACATTTGAGGCCCGCCAAAAAAGGTAAAATATTCTGTCATTTATGGAAATTGAAAGTCAATCAAAATAATGAAAATATGCAGAATCTTAATATATGTTATATGCCCAGCATAATATAAAAGTGCTAGCTTGATAACTATAAAGTCAGCCGGACACACCACGTATCCTGCATAAATAATTTCACTACAAATGACAAAGTTTAACATTCTGTCATTTGTGGGAAGTTAGAAGAAAACCAAAATCCTGTGAATATGCATACCTTTTATATACGTTCATACATCTACCATAATATTTTATTTTGTAACAGTATAAAGTTCAATAAACTTATTTTAAAGAAAAACAAATGCTAGTTTGAAAACTGTAAGAGTAAATAGCCGGACAAAGCATGCGCCATGCATGCTTAACTTGCCCCAAAAAATGACAAAGTTCAACATTCTTTTGGAAATTTTAAAGAAATCAAAATCCTGATAATGATATGCACACCATTAGTATATGTACTAACAACTTACTAAATATAAAGTATACCAACTGTGCATGTATACTGACAGTTCAAACCATGCAACCCATATAGGACAGACAGATAGACGGACAGCGGTTAAAAGAAACTGTTTACAGCAAAAAACTCTTGTTGTTATTTCAAACATCAACAACGTACGCCACGTGTTTTGTATGTAATAATGAACTGTTATTCTCAGTAATCTCTTTATGTATTATAAAAAGCTGCATAACTTTGGAAAATGTAAGAATGAAAGTTAAAGTGTTTTATAATATTCTAAATATAAAAATAATTATTTACTGGATTGGAAATAGAAGAAACATAAAACTTGGCTGCACAGAATTCTCCGTGGAATTCATCAGCTGTTACACCAATGCATTCGTCATAATCACCAAGCCAGGCAAATTGTCCACCAAGTAAACCTGCAGGAGGCTTTCCCAAAGCATCCAACACTGAAAACAAACACTGTACCAAGTATATTCATATTAAATATGTATACATCAGTTTACCTCTCTTGCTAATCGTTACAGACATTTCAGGTCTGTGAACAGGTACATTTTCATATCACCTGTAACGTAATATATCATCTGTACGAACAAGTCTTTGTGCAAGTAAGTTACATATTTATAAAAACAAAACATGTGAAGAGTGATCATTTGATACATGTGGAATAATACATGCACTTGATATAAATTTTTTCTTATTATTTTTCTATTCATTTTAATATACGAGGGTTGGATTGTGTTAACAGAATAGACAAAAATGGGCAATGAAAAAACAAATAAAAATGAATGTTTTTTTTTTAACATAAAAAATAGAAAATAATGTGCGAACAAAATTGAGAAATCTACATATTTATTTTTTAATCAGAAAACAAAAACCCCAAATCCCCCACAATTTCAGACCCTTTTGCATGAAAGATAAAGTTTCAGGGTCAGACATGTCTTGTCACATATATGTCAACCGACGAATACAAATTACTAAATAATCCATATTGTATCAAAAAGGAAGGGACTTATAAAATTACGGAATTATGACTCCGACAGATGGAACATATTCCCGTGAAGCAAGTGTTCCGTAACAGTCACCCAATCTGAATGAAAGAAGATGTGGGTTGTAGGCCAATGAGCTGATAACGCAACGACACAAATACTGAAATACGTCTACAGGACAACCGATAATGTTTTGATAATACGCAAGTGTCTATGTTATTTGTCAAAATATAACGTTTCTCAGTGTGTCACTCTAGAAAAGTTGTGTAGAATATTAATAGATCAGAGATCTGCCACCAAAACCAAATGTCCTACATGAAAAACATACATATAATAAAGAACAACCATTTACCATGCTCCTAAAATATGACACAAATGACAATGTGGTGGTTAAACTATTTTATTTTAGATCTCAACTCTTCCCCGTTAATATCGATCTGTGGAACATGCAATTAATTTTAAAAGTTCATACAGGAAAAAGCACAGTAATCAACGCGTACAGTGATAAACACCTCGTACCAAGTTACTTAGATACCACTCAAAGTACTTTAGCTGCTGATCAGATAGTGTACCGTCCTTCACTTTCATATTGATGGCTGTACAATGGAAAATTTAATACAGAAAGGTGTGTTTCTTATCGTGAATCGTCAAGATATAAAAAAAAATCCATTTTACTATTTAGTAACCCGTGGTGCATTGGTAACCGTTTTAAATGCACATCTGTATCAAATCATGATAGGAAACAAAACTCAAATGATGTTAAAATTTGGTATCAACTGAACTTTTGTCTATCATTATTGGTCATGGTGTTTTCTATTTTCCCTCGAAGTGAGGATTTCGATTGCCCCTCTTTTCAATCTAGATTTATTTAAAGGTATTCAGATGATAAAAGTAAATTTCACATTTGACAAGTTATAATCAAGTTTGTGTGATTTGTAAAATGTCTTGTTTTTCCTTGTCTTGTATCGACATATATTAAGTATTGTAAATTTGGGCTGGAAAAGTATGTACACATCCATGAAAAATCTTTGTTTTGGTGAAATTACGTAAAAAGCTAAAAGAAAACTTTTCTTATTTAATTTTTAGTTTCTTGGCTGTGCAGGATGTTTCCACAAAGGAAATCAAAAAATATAACACAAATGCTTATTTAACTTATTATGAAGACATTTATCATGCAGATGTAATAACATTGAAAATCTTGTCTTATTTATTTTCATCTCTTGATTTAATGCATTTTCCCATATCATGTGCAACTTTAAAGTATTTCTAAAGCAAATCGTTTTCTTGGACCAAAATCGGCCCTTAATATCGGACTACGCGAACAAACGTATTTATTCTGGGTGATACATGTATGAAACATTTCTCATTTTAGTTCTGAGTAAAATAACATGTTTGACCTGAAGCTAAGGCTAATAAAACAAAGCCATGCTTCACATTTAAGGTATGGGTTATACAACATGTTTCAAAATTAGTTATGGATCATCAAACATGTTTCACATTTAAGTTGTGGATCATATAACATGTTTCACATTTAAGTTATGGATCATATAACATGTTTCACATTTAAGTTATGAGTTATTACACCAGACATAAATCTCAACCGTTGGCAAAAATCACTCAAAAATAAATTAATGGTCTAGCAAAACATGACTTAAGATTAAAGAAATGGTATATTTCGCCGGGATAAATTACTTCTATTGTCCATTGCGCTGGCATTCTACATGTACTTACTTTGCATAGCCCATTTTTTTCCTCCAAATAATCCCCCAAGAATACTTTGTGTATGGTTCAAGCAGAGTGCATTCACCTTAAGTAAGGGTGGGGTTGAACTGGTTATCACTGGAGAATTAGAAGGAGTCACTGTTACGGGTAGAACTGTTGTTGCCATTGACTCTGTGGTTACGGGAACAGTTGGTGTTTCCTTTGCAAGTGTGGAATCACTTTGTGTAGGAGTTGCATAAACCGTTGTAGGCAAAGAATTAATATCTGTGTTCTGGTTTAAAGTCGAAGTGACATTAAAACCATAAACATTAGTGGTATTTCCAATTATAACACTATCAGATAGTTCTGAAAACTTGTACAACTCATCTGAAAATGTCTGAAGATTGTCTAATATGTTCCGTACATTCAGTGCTTTATTCATTGCATTAATATCTTGAAGTAAAGCCGTCTGGTTTACATGCCGTGAATATCCTTTCAATGTTTGATAACTGTTTTGTATTATGTTATAATAATTTTCCTCTGAAGCAACTGAACATTTGAGTAGTAGTAATAGGAAACAATAGACATTCACCTGTGCCATTGTGTTGTACAGCTCGATGAAATCAACTGGGACTTTTTCAATCAATTCCAAGATAATATACCCTGCAACTCGAGATTTTCGCAATATATTGGTAGAAAAACACGTCCCATATTTTCACTGGACTAGGTAAATACCAAATTTGTCATCGCCAATGTTATCTCCTTTTATATAAGATATTACAAAGTGTACTTTGAATCTTAATTTATATCCATGCAACGGGGACATTTTATGTTCAAGCCTTGTTTATGTATAAGTTAAAAAAATAATCATACTCACTTATTCTTTAGAAATATCTTAGGTCGAAGCAAAATCTAAAATATTATTATGTTTGAAGTATTAATTTAAAAACTTTAGACAATAAAACAGAAGTTCAAATAAATGCTTTTGTAAGGAAAAATAACCAAAAAAATTTCGATATTAATGATTGAACATGCATGCGTATTTACACTGATGTGTTTTAAGATTGATTGATTGATACTTGCTGAACGTCCAGTGGCAAAATGTTTCAGGCACATTTATAAGGCATGAGAGAAATGTGGTCATTGGTCAAAAGAACGACACAAAAACATACACACTCTTAATAAATAGAGATAGCTACTATATCTGTATATTAATAAACTGAGACGTGGACTCATTCGAAAAGGACAACAACTGGACGAAGTTGTTTGAATTTAAGTTAAAAAAAATGTTGTGAATGCATTAAACAGAGGCTTTCATCAAAGATCAACGTCCTGAACATGCATGAAATATTTGCCACTTGACGTTGAGCAACATACAATCAATCATAAAAGATCTGCCATTAATATAAAATTCCGTTAAAAGACGAAACACATTGCAATATAATTGAGGTCAACCATGGACAAGGTTCATTGCTAAGGACATGGACATAAGGCGGGTCTAGATTTTTGTAGCACCTCTTCTATATCTCACCAGTCATTGTGAAATATAAAAACGCACATAAACATTTCGTTGGTATTTGTTTCGTTGGGTTGCTATCGATTTGACTTTTCTCTAGTAACATCTCCTTTTATTCATATGATTGAACATACAATAAAAGTAGTTTAGAAAAAGCACCTTACAATATAATATCGGTATAATAGACTTTGAAGCACTTGTACATGTAACATACTACTGAGCTGATGATTAGCCACGGGGATTAGCTGTCCACCAGCAGCGGTATCGACCAATTGTAAGAAAAAGAAAATAACACTATTTATATTGGTGCGTCTGAAGCTAGTTAACGTTAAAATGTGGTATACCACGAACCGCAGTACCAATACAGATTTCCAAATATGGTTTATCTACATTTATTAAAGATTGTTGTCTGAGTAAATAAATAATAATGATACATCGGAGATTACAAATGACCTCAACACTGGACATCATCACTGTCATAAGTTTGATAAGTGAATAACATAATTTACACAAAGAAAAAAATACACACTGACAACGCATTTAGATATACCATTGAAAGTTTATTATTTTGGTTGTACTTCTTTACCCGTTACCAGGGTAAGATTGATTGGTCCGTTACCCCAAAATGCGAGCACGAATTCACGTACGCATTGGTCTATCACTCAGCCAACAGTCAATTACAGACAATATGTTATACTCATTCAATCATACCGTAATGGTTGTCTGCTTTATTAACCTTTAGCTATGTAAAATACTTTTAATGGGGTTTATTTTAAACACGATGTATACATATAAAATATATTCCAATATGGAGGTTGATAAGAACAACAATCCATCTCATTGACATATTTAGTCATTAAATGTATTATTGAAAGAATGAAAGAAAAGCGACTGTTATACAAATTTGAAGGAATCTAAATATTTAGAATTCAAATGTTTAGTACAAAACACCAAGTGTGTAAACATATAAAACTGTTAACTTAGGAAATAAAATGAAAACTAATAAATGCACTTATCATTTGGCATTGCTTGATATAAAAATTAAGTCGCTTAATTAAAAAAATAATAAAGGTAAAAAATCTCTCACGGGTGATGAACTATACAGTAATGGTAATATTATAATATAGAGCAAACAAGTATTCTTAATAACTATCCAGCAAAATGTATATTACATATTTGTGGTCGCTATGTATAAAGGCATGTATTATAATACTGTGGTCGCTATGTAAAAAGGCATGTATTACAGTATTGTGGACAATATGTAAAAAGGCTTGCATTACAGTACTGTTGTCGATATGTAAGATGACATGTATTACAGTACTGTGACCAATATGTAAGAAGGCATGTAGTACAGTACTGTGGCCGATATGTAAGAAGATGTGTATTGCAGTATTGTGGCCGATATGAAAGAAGGCATATATTACAGTGCTGCGGCCGATATATAAGAAGGCATCTATTTCAGTACTGTGGCCAATATGTTTAATTGCAACCTCTAATTGTCGTTGTCTGGACCATGTGGACAGTGCATTACTTGCAATTTTTTCATACCCCTTCCCAATTTATTTCTTCATGTTTAATGCATTAAATAGTATGTAGGTGGATGAAAATACACTGTTAAAAAATCATGAATGTTTCGATAAAGTGGTGATTTTGTCCAAGTTAGATATCCCTTTTTCATAAGAAATCTACTCTACTCGCGTAGTGGTATTAACCATATGTGGATTCTAAAATACTCTAAAGAACTTCTGGATAATTTTATATCTCGATCTTTCTCTGAAATTAATTCTATCAAAACTTTTGATTTTTCAACCCTGTATACCACCATTCCCCATGTGAAATTGAAAAATCGTCTAAAAGAAATAATCCACAATGCTTTTCAATATAAAAATGATAGCATACGCTCTAAACTTATTACTTTGGGATACCATACGGCATATTTTGTCAATAGTGAACAAAAAGGTAAAACATTCTACACAGAGGAACAAGTGATCAGTATGCTAAAGTTTCTTATTGACAACATATTTATTGAATTTGGAGGTAGACTTTTTCAACAAATTGTCGGCATTCCTACGGGAACGAACTGTGTGCCTCTCCTTGCCGACCTCTTCTTATTTCCATATGAGTCGGAGTTCCTTCAAACACTTGTCAAAAACAAGAAGATCAAAGAAGCCAGATCAATTGAATTCACATTCAGATATATTGATGATGTTCTTTCCATTTGCAATCAAGACTTTTCTGATTGGGTTCCATTACTATATCCTCCAGAATTAGAAATTAAAGAAACAACAGACACGCCTCAGTTTTAGACTTATACCTCGAATTTGACATAAGCGGTCATCTCAGTACCAGAATCTATGACAAACGAGACGATTATTAATTTTGAAATTATCAATTTCCCACACCTTAGTAGCAATATACCAACTTCACCTGCATATGGGATATTCATTTCCCAACTCATTCGGTATTCAAGAGCTTGCAGTTGCTACTCAGATTTTATAAAACGTCAGCAGTGTCTGAGCAGAAAATTGATGAACCAGGGTTATGTCAAAGAACGTCTAGTACTTTTTCGAAAAAAGTTCATCGGAAGATACCAAGACCTTGTTGATAAATATCCGTATCAACTTCACAAATAATACATGATGGTCTTGAAGTATAGATGCAAGGTACTACTGACGTTGTTTGTCATCTTAATTACGTGTTATAGTGTTCTTTTATTTGTCTTTGTAAATTATTAACCTTTACTGTTTAGTCCATTTTTTGTAATATCCTTTTAGCGTGGCTCGGTACTTATACATCCCACCATTGTGTTATTGTGAAATGGTCATTTTTTGTATTCTTATCTTTCCTTTTTGTTTATATGCTTTGTCTATATGCCTTTTTGTTTTTCTTTGTTGACATATTTGTTTTTTATAGTGATTAAGATTATAACACAATGTTGACTGCTGTGCCCCTATTTTTTGAAATTTATACCTTTTATGTCTGTTTATTTTGTTCACACATTGTTGTCAATATAATGGAATTTTATGCGACTGTCATACAAGTAAGAAGTTTAGCTAGCTATAAAACCAGGTTTAATCTACCATTTTCTACATGAGGACCTGTACCAAGTCAGTAATATGACAGTTGTTTTCCATTCGTTTGATGTGTTTGAGCTTTTAATTTTGCCATTTGAAAAGGGACTTTCCGTTTTGAATTTTCTTTGGAATTCGGTATTTTTGTACTTTCTACAGTTACAGCCAAACTTACTAACTAAATCTTTGCATCTATGAAAGAATTTGGTAAAGGTTTTAACTAATGTTGGTAACGAAATCACTGACTAAATAATTTACCAGTTATACATAAATTACGTTTATTGAAATATAAATGCGACTACAGACATGAGCATAGCGAACCTACAACGACACCGACAGATACATGTACCTTTCAGTTTTTTTAAATTTACCAATTTGATGTCCAACTAAATTCTGTATTCAGTGACAATACGATTCAATTTGTCGCTTCTAGTTTTCAGGCATTACCGTTGATCAGAGTTCCCGTAAAAGTGACGAAAGATAACAAAGGGACATTCAAATGATGTTACCAAAAAGATGGCGATTTGAGTAATTATATTTTATCTCCCAGGAAACACAGTCTTCTCGGGAATGTAGCGGACCTTCTCTACAAATTTGCTGCATCAATGTATATTGTTTGGGCATCAGTCTGATCAACGGTCAACAAGTTCGTAATGGCTACCATATAACTTATGAAGGGATTACCTCAATCTTGGACAACAAACCTCTGTTTGAGTCAACAGTTTGGCTCTACAGAAAAATACGCTGTAATGGCATCAAGCAATACTTAAAGATAAACATACATGTAATAAGTATTATAAGAGGGAGAAAGAGAGAAGTGGGGGTCTACTAGCCCCAGAAAAAAAGAAATTTGCA